AGCTGGTAAAAATGGGTCTAATCAAGGGTCCCCACGAAAGTTGCAATGATTGTCATCATAATCTGCAGGGTTGTAACCTAGTGCAGCGAGATATCCAGTCAATGATTGATAAAGGTATACTGCAAATATATGGAAAGAAGAAGAAAGAGGATGTCTTGGTGATTGAGCTAATCTTCAACCTATCGAGGAAATCTGGAAAAAAAAACAGTGTTCAATACCGGGAATAATAAGTCTGCTCCTGCCACTACGGTCAGACCTGTTTTCACAACGGTCCCACACCAACTACATACCAGCCTAAGCCTAGGTACGATCCAAGGGAGAGACTGGGTCCTCATCCAAGGGTTGTATCTTGGAAACGCAACTACTCCTTATACGACATGAACACCAGAAGGAAGTAGGAAGATGTAACAAACATTGTCAGAGGAAGCAAGATGACCCACAGTGGTCGTGTGTATCAACCTAAGGCAAAATTCACCGTTCCTTAAGCTGCAACCACTATTCCCAAAACAACTACCACCATTCCTAAGGAATCTGTTCCAAAGGAAACCACCTCCAAAGAATCTATTGTTGAAGAAACAAAAGGGAAAGAAGTCCCAAGGGAGGATGAGGAAGAATTTTTTAGATTCATTCGCCGAAGTGATTATCGGGTAGTGGACCAACTCAACCAAACACCATCCAAGATCTCGATCATGTAGTTGCTGTTAAACTCTCTTGTCCATCAACAAGCCCTATTGAAGATATTAACACGAGCCCATGTCATGAAGGATATCACCGTGGGGCAGTTTGATTTTGTGGTTGCCAACATTATAGCCTGCAACACGCTGTGTTTTGACAACTCTGATCTAACTGCTGAAGGTCGCAAGCAAAACTGTGCCTTGCATGTGTCTTTTAAATATGAAGAAGATACTCTTTCCAAAGTACTTGTTGACAACGGATCGACTCTTAACGTGATGCCTAAAAGAACGTTGGCCAAATTGGCTTATAAAGGAGCTGAGATGAAAGATACGTCATTGATTGTAAAAGCTTTCGATGGATCGAGAAGGACGGTGATCGGAGAAGTCGACTTACCCATCATGGTAGGCCCCTAAGTTTTTGAAATCACTTTCCAAGTGATAGACATAAATTCAGCTTACAGCTGCATGGTAGGAAGACCATGGATTCACGCGGTAGGCGCTGTCACATCCACTCTACATCAAAAGATGAAATTCATTGTTGAGGATCAGTTGATCATGTTGCACGATGAAGAGGACCTGACGTTAAGCAACCTATAATCTTTTCGATACATCGAAGCTGACGAAGATGCGTTGGAAACAGCTTTCCAAGCATTAGAAATCACACATGTTGTGATGGTGGAAGACGATGTCGTTACACGTGGTCCATCCTTTGTCTCCGCTCAGAGTATTAAGAATTCTATGAAAGAAGGACTTCCGCAAGGATGGGGAGAAGTGATCGAAGCCAATTCCCAAGCAAAGAATGACCAACGAGGGTTGGTTTATAAACCAACTCCAGATGAAGAGTCAGAGGTCAACAGCAAACGCCTCAAAACTCTAGAAGAAATCTTTGTAAGTAGCGGTGTTCAAATAAATGCTATTGAAGAAAATGATAGAGAAAGCTGCATCAACGACCTGGTATTCTAGGACAAAGTCGTTCTATGCAATTGGGAGGTTGTTGAAATTCCTGTCATGTTGCCTCTCGTCGACTAATTTGCTTGTTTTGCTTGTTAGCCTTTTCTATGTTTAAAATCCCTGGTCGTGCCCAAGGCCAATGGATCATTTTGTACGGGCCACACATTCAAAAATCAATTAATGGATGAGTGTTTTGTTAAATTCCCATTTATTTTTATTCATCATTTTTATTTTCATTTTTTTGTAAAAAGGAAAATGGCAATCTTTTCAAAAAACCTAAAAAAGAATCATCTGCATCCCTTTGTGTGTTTGTGTTTGCTCATTTAGACCCGTTTAACACATGCAGAGAACCTCCATCACCTCTTAAATCCGATAGTCATTCGATCCCATCTAACTTCAATCCAGCGGTGTTCCAAGCTGAAGAAGACAATGATGAAGATTTCGAAGTTCCAGAAGAACTAACCAAAATGACTGAGTATGAAGACGCCTATCTTTAGTCGTACAAAGAGAAGATTGATGTTGCCAACTTAGGCTCAAAAGAGGTAAAGAAAGAAGTCAATATTGGGGTATCACTAGGGGCAAACATTAAAGGTCGGTTAATAACACTTCTCTGAGACTACGCAGATGTGTTCGCTTGGTCTTACCAAGACATGCCTGGGTTGGATACTGATATTGTGATGCACAAACTTCCTCTTAAACTCGAGTGTCCTCTGGTCAAGCAAAAGCTTCGAAGGTCCCGACCTGACATGGCCCTCAAAATCAAGGAAGAGGTTAAGAAACAAATCAACACGGGCTTCTCGGAAGTCTCTAAATATCCTGAATGAGTGGCTAATATTGTACTAGTGCCCAAAAAGGATGGCAAAGTTAGAATGTGCGTAGATTATAGGGACCTCAACAAAGCCAGTCCAAAAGACGACTTCCCCCTACCGCATATTGACACTTTGGTGGATAACACGGCCAGCTTCGTGGTATTTTCATTCATGGACGGTTTCTCTGGTTATAACCAGATAAAAATGGATCCAACTGACATGGAAAAGACGACGTTCGTCACCCGCTGGGGCACCTATTATTATAACGTTATGCCTTTCAGTCTGAAGAATGATGGGGCTACATACCAATGGGCCATGGTGGCGTTGTTTCATGATATGATGCACCAAGAGATTGAAGTCTACATCAATGACATGATTTCTAAATCTCAAAGCGAGGAAGATCAACTTGAGCATTTGTCAAAAAATTTCAAGAGGCTTAGGAAGTATCAGTTGAGACTGAACCTCACCAAGTGTACATTTGGGGGGAGATCTGGCAAGTTACTCGATTTCATAGTTAGTCAACGTGGAATCGAGGTGGACCCCAAAAAGGTACGAGCCATTCAGGAGATGCCTGCACCACAAACTGAGAAGTAAGTTAGAGGTTTCCTTGGAAGATTGAATTACATCTCCAGATTTATCTCCAACTTAACTCCTACCTGCACGCCAATCTTTAAGTTGTTATGAAAGGATCAAGTGGTTGTATGGAATGAGAATTGCCAGGTAGCATTCGAAAAGATCAAGGAATATCTCCAGCAGCCTCCTATATTGATCCCTCATGTACCCGAAAAATTGCTCTTCATGTACATGACGGTGCTCGGAGAATTAATGGGTTGCATTTTGGGTCAAACAGATGAGTCAGGGAAGAAGGAGCATGCAATCTACTATCTAAGCAAAAAGTTCACCGATTGTGAGGGTCGTTACTCTCCATTGGAAAAAGCTTGTTGAGCCCTAGCTTGGGCAGCCAAACGTATGAAACAGTACATGATTTGCCACACTACTCTATTGATATCCAAGATGGACCCAATAAAGTATATCTTTGAAAAGCCTGCTCATACAGGGAGGCTCGCTCGTTGGCACATGCTCTTGTCAGAATATGATATCCAATATGTTGCTCTAAAATCGATAAAGGGAAGTTTCTTGTCAGACTACCTTGCTGAGCAACCTATTGAGGATTACCAACCGCTGAAGTTCGAATTTCTTGATGAAGATGTCATGTCTCTTTACCAAGCTAAAGAAGAACCTGGTCCAGAGGAAGGTCCCGAGCCTGGTTCCCGCTGGAAGTTGATGTTTGACGGGGCATCCAATAAGAAAGGCCATGTAGTTGGTGCTGTTCTGGAGAATCCAATCGGAGGATATACCACTGTTACTGCATACTATGTTTCTCATGTAGCTGAATATGAATCCTCTATCCTGGGGCTTGAAGCTGC